CTTGAACCTGCATCACTTCTCGGCATGTTGGGCTCTGTAAGTTGTCACCTTTCCTGATGGAAATTATATAATTTATATTTATACTTGAAATTTTTTTTTCCTGGTACTGGTGATGGAACCCCAGGGCGATAACCACCAAGCAACAGCCCCAGCCCTTTTAGTTTTTATTTGAGACCCAGTCTCACTAAGTTGCTAGGGCAGGCCTCCACTCTGCGGTCCTCCTGCCTCAGCCTCCTGGGCCCCTGGGAGTATTCAGGGATTTTTGAGCAACTGCAATTTACTGTCTCTGCTGCAGTTCTGTCCCTTCACCCCTGCCTCAAGTCTTCATCCTTCCCAAACCCTCAGCCAGAGCTCGGCAGCTTTCTGGAGGCTTCTCCAGCGCTCTGGCCTCCCTCACAGAGTCTCACTGCAGCAGTGGCTAGAGCTGCCCAGACAGCTGTGGAAGCCGCAGACGGGATAAGGAAAAGGCGAGGGGCTGCGGCTCCACATGGAGACCTGTGGGGTCCCTGTGAGGGTACGCTTTCCCAAGTGCCCATGACTTGCACCCCCTCCACCATGACACAGCACGGCACATGGATCCAGCCTCAACAGAGGCCACCGTGCGTGCTCCTCAGAACCAGGCCAGGGCATCCAGTGAGAATGTGCGCTGGGGTCTTGTGTGACATTCATGCTCCCCATTCTGTTGATATAAACAGCTTCACTGAGTTGTAAATCATTTTTGCTTTTGATATCATTTTCCTTTTTTAAAAATTGAAAAACCATCCACGTCCCCGCTGCAGAGAAGGTGGCACTCAGCCACGCTGCTTCCCTGCCTGTAGAAGCCTGCCAACTTCCTGCTCCCTTGGTCGCAGGCAACAGTGAATATTGGTGTCCTCGGTGATTAGCGAAGTTCAAAGTCTCGTCATGCATCCAGTTGGCCACTTGTGCACGTTTCCTAATGAGTTCTCTGTTAAAAAGGCTTTGTGAACTCTTCGGGTATTCCTAGTACTTGGTTGTGGTAGAAAGCTGCTCGTCACGGAGACCCAAACACCTGATAAGAACGACGTGGAGGAGGAAGAGTTATTGTGGCTCACAGAGGTTCAGTCCGTGGTGGGCCAACTCCATGGCTCTGGGCCCAGGTGAGGCAGAGCATCATGGCGGAAGGGCCCCGGAGGGAAACTGGGCACACAGGCAGCCAGGAAGCAGGGGGCTGCAGGAAGACGCACGCTTCCCGGGCACAGGCCCAGGGACTCCCTGCTCCAGCCACAACCCACCTGCCCACAGTTACCACCCAGCCCACCCCAACTAGGAGGGGCTGATGGGGTCACGGTCCTCCTCATCCAATCATTCACTTGCAACATTCCTGCAGGAACCCAGGAGACGTTTAGAGAAGGCACCTCATAAGCAAATCACAACACCCTCATGCCCAAATTTGACATCTGACAAATGTCCCCTAGTTTGTCATTTGTTTGGGAGGGATTTGTCCCTCCCCGAATGGCCTCTGATTTCTTCTAGTCAGTTTGCTCCTTAATTTAAGGTTTCTTCACGTGATGTAGGACTTAGAAAAATCTCTTTTATTACACTTTTACGGTTTCACGTCTTGTACTCACATCTTTCCTTTTGGCTGGCATTATTTGGGGGTATAGTATGAGATAAGAATTTAATTTTAACTTCCTGTTCTAAACTTGTTCTATCGCTTAAATAAAGTAAAAGATTAGTTTTAGAAGAGAAAGATATCGTTCCGGGCGCGGTGGCACACTTCTGCCATCCCAGCAACTTGGGAGGCTTAGATAAGAGGATCAAAATTCAAGATCGACCTCAGCAACTTAGCCAAGACCCTGCCTCAAAATACAGGCCTGGGAATGTGGCTCAGTGGCAAAGCACCTGGTGGGGTCCAATCTCTGGTCCCAAAAAGAGACAAAAGTAGTAAAAGACATCTTAAACGGGGCCACCTCCAAACTGCCCATCACACACCTGTCAGGTACGAGTTCCCGGACAGCACGGCGGCAGAGGCAGGGTATAAGGACGCCGCAGGAGGACAAGAGAGGGACACAAGTCATGACCCTGTTTAGGGTAAGTCCCATCACCATGACAACTCCCTCCACTAAGGACTTATCAGCAAGACAACTCCTGCCTCCGCTTCCCTACTTTAAAATGACCCATGAGGATCAGGTGGGTAGTATTCTGATGAGGTCTTCTAAAGCAACCAATGGGGAGGGAATATTCAAATCAGGTATCATAAGGTGGCCAATGGGAGCAAAGGGGCCAGGTCTCCACTCAGCTCCACCAGGGGAAGAGACGGCCTCACGGTGAGTTCAGCATGTAGACGGGGTGGGGGGCTGGGGCCTGCCTGCTTGGCCACCTGCTCTACCCGATGGAGCGCTACTTTCACCTTCACCTGATCTGCACTCTGCCAGGTACCTGTGTCTTGCTCAGTTCTGCATTTGGGACACCCAGGCGCTGGACGCCCTGACAGTGTCACACCCATCACTTCAGCTGCAAAGCATGTTGTCATCGTGAAAGCCAATCACAAGTCATGATTCTTCCTTCTTCTACGGCCGAAACTTAAGATGGAAGTCAACGCTTCCTTTACCTGTCAAAGCTCAAACGGACGCGTGTGGGACTTTGGCAGTTTTTCCTATTTTCCGTCACTTTCTCCCGCTCACCTGGGAACCCAGCTTATTAAAGGCCCCGGGGTCAGGTTGGATCCCACTCCCACCCACCCCCCCTCCATGAGCTAGAGATACTGCGCAGTAGTCTTTGGGTCAAGGATAAAAGTGTGTGGTGGGGTTCTAGAATCCCCCTAGCCTTTTCAAAAAGATCTCAGGTGGGTCCAACCCAGGCCCTGACCTGCTCCACGGGTGCAGGAAGCCCAGGGGCAGAAACGCAGGTAGGAGTCCCAACACCTGGCTCTGCGTCCTGGCTTTGAGGATGAAGCTGTGGCTGTCTGACCACTGTGTGGCGGTGTCTACAGCCTGGTCCACAAACAACACCCCAACACTTCCCCTCTTGGTACTTTGTATTCCAAATGCAGCAAACGACTTCTCTCTTTTTGGTACCAGGGATTTAACCCAGGGGTGCTCTACCACTGAGCCACACCCTGGCCTTCTTTGTATTTTATTCAGAAACAGAGCCTCACTGAGTTGCTCTTGGCCTCCCAGAGTTGCTGAGGCTGGCTTTGAACTTGGGAACCTCCTGCCTTAGTCTCCCCAAGCCTCTGGGATTGGTCTTCGCCACTGCCCACGGCTAGCAAACTATTTCTAGAACCCCAAAAGGGCAAGGCTGTGCCACACCTTGGTGTCTCTGTTCCTACTGCCCCTGTCTGTGAATCCCGCTCACCATTAGTCCATCTTCCCAAACGGAGGAAGCCCCTCCCTGCAGCGAGGAGCCTGCTCTGGGCCACCCTGTGGCACAGGTCCCTTTCCAGTGCGTGAAACTGCTCTCTGCATCCTGTAGAACCTCCTGATAACTGCTTTTACTTCCTCCTGCTGAGCAAGGAGGCTGAGGAGCTGCACCCTGACCCTGAGGGGCACGGAGGGGACCCACGACGGTAACATGTTTCTTGTTTTTTCTTTTCAATAACATTGATTTATATATCTATCTGTATGTGCGCTGAGGCTGGAACCCGGGGCCTGACACTCTGCCCTGAGCCCCAGCCAGCACGGACAGGGGGTTCTGAGGAACCCAGCCTACCTCGGTCCACACGTAGCTTCTGTTTCTATAAATCACAGCTGCTTCTGGGGGACCTGCAGAGAAGCCAGCCAGCTGCTCCTCCGCAAAGGACACAGAGTTCCACCAAAGGACACAGAGTTCGTTTCTCCTTTTTCCACCATTTGCCTACTTTTCTAGGTGGGCAGACGGCAGACTCTGGCCAGCCAGGATCCAGCCTGACCTTGGGGTCTAGAGAGAGGGGTCATGTCCCCGTGCTGCGTCCTGATTCTCCCAACCCCACAGGGAAGGTCAGCAGGGTGGATGGACAACAGCGCTTGGAGGCCAGGCGCTGGGCCCTGCTTGGAATGGGGTGCAGCCGTCTGTTGGGGTGTGGCTCCTCCAGCCCATGGACTTTTAAAGGGAAACACCTCATTCTAGGCGACAGACCCAGATTCTCGTGAGCGAGTGTTTACTGAGCAGAACGGCAGGTGCTCCAAGGGCTTTTTAGTTGGTGGTCTCTGAATACGTTTGTACTTAGTACTTTTCTGTGTCTCTGTGTTTGCTACAAGTCGCTATTAACGGGCACAGCAGGGCAGGGCAGGGACAGTGCCACCACCAGCCACAGTGGGTTAGTGGACAGAAACTCCCAGGACCCCTCCCCTTATTTGTGACTGAACTCAGGGGCCCTCGACCATGGAGGCCCATCCCCAGCCCTTTCTATATTTTATTTAGAGACAGGGTCTCGCTGGTTGTCTATAGGGTCTTGCTTTTGGCTGAGGCTGGCTTTGAACTCATGATCCTCCTGCCTCAGCCTCCCAAGGCACTGGGATGACAGACGTGGGCCACCGCGCCAGGCCCAGGGCCCCTCTGAGAAGCCCAAGGGTGAGCCATCCCAAGGGCTGGGACAGGATCCCTCGACTGGAGACTTGGGTTGCTGAGGCTGGCAGCCACGTTGGGTCTGTCATGCAGAGCGGAGTCGCCACGCCCCCCAGCAGCAAGCATGAGCCTCATGGGGAGCGGAATGTGCTGGAACAAACATGCCCTCTGTCACACCTCAGCCCCCTGCCTCCCCAGGACCCCTGCGCCCCCCATACCTCTCGGAGGGGCTCTGGAGTCGCCTTCTGCAGGGGTGCACGTGCAGTACGGAGGGCTGGGCTGCGGGCAGACTGAGGGCTGGCAGGGGTCCTTCATGCGGTTCACCACATTCTCTGACAGCTGCGAGAACGGAGGAATGGGAGAGGAGACGTTGCCATCACAGAAACGTCTGGAAAGTAAGGCCCCCATCTATTCGTGCCTCGAATTTCCTGAACACGCGGTTTCCCCAAGACCCTCTCCAACGACAGTTCTCCAAAGCCTCTGCCGCTGGCCCCCTGCCCAGCAGACCCACGCCAAGCCCATCTGGATGCCAGGAAGCCACACTGTCCCCCCAGGCTCTGTCGCTTCTCTGGCTCTTGTGTCCACGCTGTTCTCTTGGCGGCTTGAGTCCTTCCTCCCCACTCTGATGGCACTTGTGCTGTCCCTCGGAGCCAGCGCCACCCCTGCCTCCCGCCGTGGCTCATCTCTACCTGTCCAGGCTGCACGCATGCTCCCTTAGGGGCAGCCCAGTGTCCCCTTCTCCAGGCGCCCTCCCGGCCACGTCCAGGTGACGGGGGCTTCTGCCTCAGGGGCTGCAGCTCACTCACCCCCACATCCCCTCCAGGGCCACCCGGCAGAGAAGCAAAACGCTTCCCGACTCCCTTCACCTTAGTTCCCCTAATGAGGGCTGGATCACCAATGCGTTCATTCATTTTCGGGCCAGTGAAACAGGCATGAGGGGGCCGTAAACAGTTTACCAAGATGAAACAGCGAGCGGGGGATAAATCCAGGCTAAAGACCCTTAAGAGTTCACTTGAGTAAATATTTATTAAGTGCCTAATGTGCACAAGGCATCATAAAGCCCAGTGGAGGGGAAGGCATTAATAAACCACGGTAAGACAAAAGATATGCTCAGCAATTCTCCTTCTAGAGAGCTAACCAGGAAAAGCACTCCCCTGGGCACACGGAGGCATGTGCCGGGATGTTCACTGTGACATGGGGACGAGAGCAAAAAACCAGGAAAACCCTAAACTTCCAAGATAGACAACTGGTTAAAGAAACCAGAGCGCACACATTCTATGAAGTGTTATGACGTGTTACAGATTCATTAAAAAAGAATGAGCC